GTCTCGCTATCTAGATTCAGGGTGGCCTTAAACTCACTACATAGCTGAGGGTGGCCTCAAATTTTTAGCAGTCCTCCTGCCTCAGCCTCCAAAGTGATGGAATTATAGTCATATACCACTATGCCTGACCTACAATCTAATTTTTTTTTTTTGGTACCGGGGTTCAAACTCAGGACCTTGTGCTTGTGAGGCAGGTAGTGGCACCACTGAGCTAAATCCTCAGCCCCTACAATTTAATTTTGATCATTTGATTAAGTCAGTGATCTAAGTAAAACTTTCACTGCTGAAGCATGTTATTCATATTTATTATTATTCATGTTATTACATCATAATGTTTTTATTACCACAACTCCAGTGTTCTCCAGTCCCCAGAACATTCTCCATGTTATTTGTAACCCCCCAAATTCCCTGTACTGGTCTATACCAGGAAGATCCTTCCTCCAGATCTCTTTGTGGGTAAGGATTAGGCATTTACTGTGAATGTATTTGATGGCTTAGAACACATAAAACACACAAGAATAAAACATGATCTCCACCTTTATTTATTTATTTATTTATTTTGGTACCAGGGATCAAACTCAGGTCCTTGCGCTTGCGAGGCAGGTGCCGGAACCACTGAGCTAAATCCCTGGCCCAGTCTCCCTCTTTAAAATGATACAATTCTAGACTGAATGAGAAGGACACAGGTAACAATTACTAGAGACAAGGAAGCAATTTCAATACTAGATTCTTGGATCTAATCCACCAAGTGGCAGGAGATGCTACTGTCTCCCATTAATACAGCTTTGGGAAACTAGTTTTGTGTTCAAATGCAATTTTATGAAAGGCCACTAGATGGTGATACTGCTTTCAAAAATGTGTGGGGAGGGCGGTGGGATGTAGACTACTGTTAATACAACTTCAAGGCCCCTTATCACCTGCCTCTCTCTCCTTACTAAATCATCATGCAGAAATACAGTAGACTTGATTTGTGTGGTGCTGGGCCCTGTACCCAGGGCCTTGCTAGCAAAGGCTCTCCTCTCACTGAGCTACATATACCCTCCAGGCCAAAATTTTGGGAGATTTAAAAAATCTTTCACCTTAAATTTGAGAATAATGAATTCAGAGAAGTGAAGTGATTTGATCAAGATTTCATAACTGGTTTACACAATAATGCTGGGACTGGAGGCAAAGTTTCTTGATTAGGACTATGGGTTTTATGTTGCTTGAATTAGAAAGGTAAATAAGGTTAATTTTAATTTATGTGGAAAATATTTTTGTAGGGGCAATTCACAGATATTCCATCCTTTAGTAAAGCATCAGATCAATGACTTGCTAAAATAAAACCTCAAAAGAGGGAAATACAGTGGCTCAAAATCTCAGAAAAGTTGTACTTGGATACTGAGAGATCAACAGATAATGAAGTTCTGTAGTTCCCAATGCTAAACAGGATTAAGTATGAATACTGATGCTCAAAATGAGAAAATGATTAAACTTTACAAACATCATTTTCTTCCCTCTTCCAACTCTAATCCATTTTTCTCTCTTCTTTTGTAACCCGAGTAAGAGTGAAGATCTGTACTGATCACAGATTCCACAGTATGAGCTGAAATTCCACTGTTTTTCTCACATGCATAAAAAAGCATGTCCAAAATCAAATGAGTAAGAAAGATTTGGTTAACACTATTACAGAAATAAGCTGAAATCTGCTCTATATTAAAACAAAAAAAAAATCTTTACAGTAATTCTTGAATACTTGGTAGTCTATCTACAGAAACTACGTAGAAAATACTTCAGATATAAAATTTGCATGGCTCTATTACTGTAAAGCTTTATCTTGCTTTCTGCTTATAACAAAGTAGAAATATAAATTAAAAACCACCTATTATGTATTGATTTCAAGTTACACCTAACATTTTAGGAAAATACAATAATTTGGTAAAGGCAGACTGACTTAAAAATCAATGTCATTAAAATTCACTGGAACAAAACACATATTTTGAAGGCATTCTATAATATATTATTATAATTAACACATATTAATTGTACGAGTTAATGGGTTTCACCGTGATATTTCCATACATGCATACATCATGCTATGATTGTATCCATCTTCCCTAGTACTCTCTTTTGCCTTCCCCTTAACCTCCCTCACCCACCATGTCCCAACCCCTGGTCTCTTTCTCTTCCTTAATGGTACTTCTACTTCTGGGGTTTGTTTGTTTTTTTAAGTTTCCAAGCACAAGCATTCTGTAGTACTAAAGAAATCTCTCCAATGAATTTTAAAGACATCAGAATTATTCTAATCTAAAGAAGAGAAGTTTAAAGGAATATATATAGAACCTTTGAGAATAGGAGGGTATTTGCTTATCAAACAAAATAATACACCAAATTTTCTCTTATAAATTTGACTGAGCAGAAAAATTCAGTATACATTACCTGAAGATGCAAAGTTATGAGATTTTAAATGTCCTGCTTTTCTAAACTCAAAATTTCTACATCAATCCAGCAGGGCAACGGAGACCATGGCCCAGTGAACTGCCACACCTCTGACACTCCACTGGAACCCAACACTGCATTTTAAAATGAAAATCAATGGGAAAATGGAGTTTGATATATACAAGATGGCTTTTCAGTAAATTTTTCTGAAACATATCTATTCCAAATGTGCATGAATATCTGTATTAAAAGAACTTATTAGTTGGAAATCGTAATTAGGTGTTGCTCATCTTCTCTGAAACCTAACATGAAAATAATAAAGAAATTCATATTCAAGTGTGACAGACATATAATACTTGTATTAAGAATAATCTAGTTACAGTGAGATCTCAATTGATCTCAACAAGCAAATAGAAATCAGAATTTCTCCCAAAAGAACAGCCACAGATGTACAGTCATTAAAAAAAGGTCATTTCAAGTTTCAGATTAAGGGCAAATTAAAAGTTTTTCCTTCAATTTCTGCTAAGGGGCATTATTATATGTGATGGAAAGAGTAAAAAATGAGGAGTAGAAAGCCTTAAACTATATGTCTTTGGCTGGGCCAACTATTTTCTATTTTTAAAAGTAATTTAATCCTTCACAATAGCAACGATATGGAACCAATATTAAGTATCCACTACCAGATGAACAGAGGAAGAAAATGTAGTATATATGCATAATGGAATACTATTCTACCTTAAAAAAAAAAAGGCAGGAAACACCACTATTTGTGACAATATAGCTGAACCTGAAGGACATCTTAAGAGATATAAGCTAGGCACCAAAAGACAAAGACCACACGATCACACTTATATGTGGAAACTAAAGGAGGTGAACTCAGGGAAGTTGAGTAGTGATAGCTACCATGGGCTACAGTTGGGGCCAGTGATGGGCAAAGGATAAAACTTTTCAGTTCAACGGGAAGAAGAAGTTCAACAGATCTAATGTACAGCAAACATGGTAAACATAATAACAATGTATTGTATTCTTGAAAACTGCTAAGAGAGTAGAGTTTAAGTATTCTTAACACATACACATAATCAGCTCAATTTAGGCATTCCATAATGTATACATATTTCAAAACCACATGTACACAATAAACATACAATTTTCATATGCCAGTTAAAAATAAACTTCAAAAAAAGGAGAAACTCACTCTATCCTTACTGGGTCTGTTTTCTCAAATGTAGGGGATACTGCCTCTTAGGCTCTTGAATAGTTTTAGACTTTCACAAAAATATAACCACATAATCCATTCTTAAAATATTAATTGTAAGTATAATAGGGAAATTAAAAAACTTAATAGCTCTGGTAAAGTAGGTAGAGTGCTCGTTTTGACAGCATGTATACTAAAACTGGTCAAGTAGATACAAAGGACTAGAGCCTTGTCAAAGCACTGTCCACACTACTTTCTGATAGGTTTCACTGAATCCTCTCAGATCCCAAACATGCTATTTTAAAACCTCGCTTCTAAAACAAATAATGGAAAGAATTCTGAGTGATTTTTCACTTTGGAAAATTCAAACTGAAGAATTTTTATTTCAACTATCATAAAACTGGCAGATTCACTGAAAGCAAACATGTAAGAATTCCAATTAACTGATAGGTCTTACATTAAATTGAGGTGGATACTAAAGAATGACAGGATTGCCATAATTTTAATTAAAATATATAAACATATCTGATATGTATTTTGATACATAAAGCTAACAATAAAAGCAGAAAAGGAATGGGTTAAAATGATTAGAGATTTAAACCCAATTAATTCTACAATTTATTTACATAAAATCCACTCTCACAAAATATTTTATCTTGAAATTCATTATTAATTCTAATAAGCAAGTCATATTTCACTACCACCAGGCACCGAGGGAGCCAAGTCAGATACACACCACAACTTTAGCCAGAGAAGCTCCAGCCTTTTCTCTTATTCAATGAACTTCCTCAAGTTCTAGGGAGCCAGACACACACAGACACACACACACACACACACACACACACACACACGTGTTGATACAGCTATTCCCGCCCCGACAAAAAAGTCTAAGTTAGTAATTAAAACAAAGTTTATAAACTTTTGAGCTACGGGTATAGCTCCGTGGTAGAGTACGTGCCTAGCATGCATGATGTCCTGCATGTGATCCCCAGAAGCACAAAAAGAGGTGGGGGACAAAGTTTTAAACCTTAAATGTGTACTTTAGAAAGCGTACACTAATATTTTTTACCAGACATAAAAATTAAGAACAGCTTAATATCTGGATCTGTGTCAAAAACTGAAGTATGAATTTAAAAGTCTTAAATTCACTTCAGTCATATGTAAAGCTGCACATATTAACAGAATTTGTCTTTACCTGTAAGTTAAAAATCAACTAAAATTGAATAGTTACAATTTTGTAATTAAAATACTCAATATGGTACAAAAGTTCATTATTTTAGTCAAGAAAAGCAAGTATCTTTTTAAAAAACTATCAATAAGGTGTTCGAAGTACACCTTCTAAAATGGAACTCTCATGTCTACAATTTTCATTTGAAAATACTCTTACCTTTCTTCTGAGCTATATAATCGAGCAAGTCCAAAATCTGCAAGTTTTATCTGCCCTCTGGTGGAAACAAAAACAAAATGAATAAAAGGTGGTAGTTACTCTGAACTGATAATACATTCATTTTATTTTAGAACATCAAAAATTCACTCACAAAAACTGTAACTGATCACACTGCAGTATTTATCAAGGTTCCACTGGCAAAGTCAAGATAAATCACAAGATAACAATTAGTACTTTGGATAGTTTCAATTTCTAGTACTATTATAGTCATCCAATTAGCTATCCGTATTTACAGGTTCTGAATCTGCATGTTCAACTAACTGCAAATCTAAAATATTTGAGAAAAGAAAACTGCATGTGTACAAACCGCGTGCAGGTCTTTTCTCCTCATCCCTCCATAAACAATAGAGATTACCAACTGCTTATATAGTGTTTACATTGTATCTGGTATAAGTAATCCAGAGACAATTTAAAGTATATGGGAGCAAACACTTGGTTATGTGCAAACATTACACCATTTCATATGACTTGAGCATACACAAGTCTTGGCAAAGGGAGAAGGGTTTGTCCTGGAACTAATCCCTCAGGGATATTCAGGGACTACTCTACTATAATTACTACAGTTACTACTCTACTAGTTACTAGTATAATAGTACTTTAGGAACTGTTCAGTCCCTATTTTAAAAAAGCACACGTCAATGAAAATAATATGTGCTTACTTAGGAATAAGAAAAATTATTAAATTCACGTCAACAGTGTTCAAGAATTAAGTTAAATCATTTAAAAATTAGGTTTATTTCCAACATTTAGAGGTATTGAGAACATAAGAGTGTTTTCTACTCATTAAAATCAGAACCAGGCAAGCCTCATTTAAACTAACAATACCAATTACCAAAGAAGTACCAGAGCTGAGAATAAGCTGTCACTGAAGCATTTAACACACTCTTCATACATATGTCAAAAACAGCTAACTTCAAAGCACTAATGACTTTTATTTTTAATTCTAAAATGGATTCACAACTAAGCTGAAATCTTATTACTAGTTACTGTAAGATTCATACTGCTTGGAAAACTATCAAACAGAAAGGCCAACTAAGTTTATGTACAACACAAACTATTGCTGGAAGTTAATTTAACTAAAGTATACTTAACAGAACTTTAGAGATAGCCCAAAGCTGTAATAGTCTTGCTTATAGCAGAAGAGTTTCGAAGCAATGAACTAAATTTTAATCTCTTTTAATAGAATCAAGGTATACATTACATAACTCTCATTTTAAACATATATGTCAAGCTGATATCCATACCTATTGTTTAGAAGGATATTTGAACACTTAATATCTCTATGCAAAAAATTCTTCTTATGACAATAATCTAGACCTTCCATGAGTTGTCTCATAAATGACTTGATGTGATTTTCATTAAAATGAACCAAGCCTGATTCCAGCAGTCCCATCAGGTCATGGTCCATGTACTCAAATACCAGATAAAATGCACCTAGGAATGAGAAGAAGCAATACATTAGTAATTTATTCTTACCACTTTTCTATAGGTTTTACTTTTAGCAACAAACTAATGGGGAGGTTTAATCCTTCGGAAGAACTGCTACTTTGTCACCTAAATGACTAACACTCAATTTTCTCTCAAAAGTTTTTTTTTTTTTTTTGGTACTGAGGACCAAACTCAGATCCTTGCACTTGCGCAGCAGGTGGTGAAACCATTGAGCTAAATCCCCGGCCCTCTCAAAGTTTATTATCAATAAAGATGTCCCAGGGAAAAGTCTTGTAAGGAAAATTGTTACAATGAAAACAAACTGCTGGGCTGGGAGCGCAAGGTCCTGAGTTCGATCCCTAGTTAGCCAACCCCCCCAAAAAACAAACCTGCTGATATCCACATTGCATAGTTTCTGGGTATGTCAAATGTAAAATATATTGTCAATTGTTTTAGACATCAAACAAATTGCTCACAAAAGCTGAAAAAAATTAGTATAGTTCATAGAAGAAATCAAAAAGCTGTTAAAAGAATTACTTTTAATAAAAAGGAGCATGATCCCAGATGTACTTTAGATGACTCCTGTTGAGCTTCCGATAAATATATAATTTATTTCTGTTTATCCACATCCAGGGTACTTTAAAACATAAAAATTACAACTTTATTTTATAAAACAAGTTTACTCCTGTTATAAAAACCTAAAATAGGCCAGGGATTTAGCTCAGTGGTTTCACCACCTGCTGGGCAAGCACAGGGACCTGAGTTCGATTCCTGGTACCAAAAAAACCCCAAACCTAAAATAGCACATAATATACTCACAACCACAAACTAAACAACTATACTTATGAGATTAAAGATATTCACACTCACACAAATTGAACCCAAAAGTCTCTAAAGAAGTATCACAAAGTTTTATTTGGCAACGCAAGAACAAAAAAGCTAACAAAACTCACTACATCTATCTGTGAAAAGACAAAAATTCTAACACCATGACAAAAAAGTCATCTGAACATATTTCATCATCAGTTCCTAATTAAAAACAGAGCAAATACATGTTAGTAAACTTGCAACAAGATTATTTCTGAATAGTTTACGAAACCTCTCTGAAAGCAACAACCAGTGTCATATGTAAGTAAGAAATTGCCAAGTGTTGTATACAGGACAAAAACCTTCATTTTTACTGTGTTCAGAACCAAGTAGTTTAAGACAAAGTATAAATACTTTTTAAAATTTTTTTTTGGGGGGGGTGGATACCAGGGATCAAACTCGGGACCTTGCGCTTGCAAGGCAGGCGCTGGAACCACTAAGCTAAATCACCAGTCCCCTTTTTAAAATTTTTTACTTTTTTTTTTTGTGGTACCAGGGATCAAACTCAGGACCTTACACTTGGCAAGGCAGGCGCAGCGCCACTGAGCTAAATCCCCAGCCCAAACTATAAATACTGAAAGACAAAATTATAATTATCAGTGGATGACTATCTTCCTAGAAAACACAAAGGATACACAGTAGCTAGGTTAGAGAAAAATCAATACACAAAAAGCAAAAGGCTTCTTCATATGTGCATTAACAATTCATTAAAAAATAAAATTCAAATGACTCTCCTGTAGAAAAAAAAGCTGTGAATGAATAGTGATGAAGGTTAACAAGAAAAAAAATTAGTTTTTCTCTGTTTGGGGGAGGGGCATTTTAACTTGAAGAAAAGAAACCAATAAGCCAAAATTTTCTGAGAATAAACACCTGCCTCAATAGAAATTTACATGACCATCATACTCAGGGATAGATATGACAGTGGAAAATAATACATACCAGAAAATAATTCCCAAGTATATTCCCAATAGTAATTAGGAAAACAGCCTCTTTGGTATTTGGACAAATGTATAACCTCACAGGTAAGTAGGCAGTAATATCAAAGATAAGAAAAGAAAAAATGGTGAAAAGAGATATATGAAATAAGATTAGTAAAATGTGGTAACTTCTAAAGATGAAGAATAAGGAAGCTGGGATTCATACTATTTTTCTGTACTTTTAAATATGTTTTAACTACTATGATAATAATGAATTTAAACCGTAAAAATATAAAAATTTTAGAATAAAATTTGGATTATCTGGAATTAAAGGACAAATTTTATTGTCCCACATTTTAAATTTGGTTTTTATTTTATCAAGCTTATATATTTGTGTAGCTTAACACAATGTTTTTCAAACTGAGTCATGTAATCAATTTAGTATGTCATAACCTGCACTCTGAAAAAATGTTTTTAGATTGCTTGATATTTTTCCAATACTGGAATGAGGCATTAATAAAACCATATGTAACATAATTTGTAAACTACAGGATCCCAAGGAACATTTCATTTTGATAATTATATATATATATATATCCTCAGAAAAATGTTGGCTATAAAAATTCTAAAAACAAATTATGTGTGTATAACCAGTTGGTAATTTTTATTTCTTTTTATCCTGCACTTTTTAGGCCTTTCTATAAGGAAAATGAATAAGTTTTTAAAAAATATTAATAATTGTTCTTAATACACAAATTGATATGGGTAAAAAAGCAAATAACCCAACTAAAAGGAAATGACAATGCCACAAGCAGACAGATGAAATCAAAATGGCAAACATATATAAGATGCTTTATATTTTACCAGTAACTGGTAAAGTACTAATCAAAACAATGATGAGATATCAGCTTCACTTATCACAATATGCACCGATGGCCAAACTAAACAAAATTGTGCATAACACACTGTGGCATCATCTACACACAGACAATATTATAAAAATACAAATAGCCTTTGACTAAGCTATCCTGTTTCTGTGAGTAAATTAAATAAAAAAATAGTAAAATGTAAAACTAAACTCCTACAAAATAATATAGGAGAAAAAGCAAGGTGGATCTTAGCTTTGTTGATTATTTTTTAAAATACAATAACAAAATCACAGTATACTGGTTAAGTTGTACTTTGTTAAAATGTAAAAATTCTGTCTTAGAAAGGCAGCATTAGCAGAATGAAAAGACAAGACATGGGTTGGGAAGAAATCTTTACAAAATACATATCTGACAGACTGGTATCCCATACAGCAAAAGAATTCTTAAAACTCTATGGTAAGACCACAAACAGCCAAATTAAAAAGTGGGCAAAAGATCTGAATAGACACCTCACCAAAGAAGATATATAAATAGCTAAGGATGATAATAGATAAATATGAAAGGATGCTCATCATATTTCATCAGAGAACTATAAATTAACTTAAACACCACTAGATTTCTATTAGAACTGCAAAACTCCAAAATACTACTGTCAAATGATGAAGAGGGTGTGGAACAACAGAAACTCATTTGTTACTGTGGAAATGTAAAATGGTAAACCAATTTGGAAATGAGAACATTACCTGGGGAATAAAAGACTGCACAGTTCTGATGGCCCTCACTAGTTGAGTAGACCAACTAGCCAATGATTATCATTCATTGTTATCAGGCTCTTTAAATGCCCGCCTCAACAACCAGTTTGCGAAAAGCATAGTAAGTCCACTCAAGCATCTGCTTGAGCTAGTTCACTCAAACTAGAATCACAATGTTCCTGGATTCTAATTGGGGGAAACTTTCCCATCAACCCCAAAATAACACTCTGTTAAGTCAGACTAAGCACCAAAAAGCTCCAAGTTTATACTTGCAAATCCTATTTTAAATGATTTTTGAATCATGCATTTTATAAACTGTAATTTTAAAATTGTGCCTTTGTGAGGCTTTATGCAAAAAGCAGTCAAAAAATGTATTGCTTATAAGTACAAAAATAAGTAAGAATTGCCGGCATCAGGAGCCTCGTAACGTCAGGCTGAAAGCAAATATGCACAAAATGTGAGTATGGCATAAGGAAGAGGGTCTTAGACTGAGGCTTTAAGAGGGACCAAGGACAAGCAGGCTGCTGGGAGTGAAAGGCATGTGGGATTCAAAGGTATCTTCTGAAATGCTTACATGAGGATATCTAGTTAGTAAGTGTAGCTATCTGGAGCTCAGAGATGGAAATATTTTTATGTAACGGTAGTAGCATAGAAACAATTATGATAAAAACCATAGAGCTATGAAGAGTTTCTGAGCAGAAAGACTGCCAAAGACATAACTTTTCAAGAACACCAATATTTAAAGAAACGAGAGGATAAGAAGGCTATGAAGCAACAGCCAAAGAAGAAGAAAACAAATACAGTTCTTTCAGAAGAGCCAGAAGATCCAAGAATCAAGTTAACATAATAAATGCTGCCCACATCAAGTGAGAAAAACCTGAGAAATTACTACTGGTGTTGGCCAGAGATTATAAGTGTCCTTATCTTCATGAGTAGTGAGAAAACTCAGAACAATCAATGAATGACAAAGTAAGAAGGGAAAGACAACAGCAAGTACTGATTACTCTTTTGTTCAGTCTGGTAACAAAGGAAGGAAAAGACAGCAACGATCCATAAACAGAATCAAATTAGCCTTTCTAACAAATGGTGCTGAGGATACTACACATACCTAAGACTGAATCTAGCTAGACCCATATCTATCACCATGCACCAAAATAAAATCAGAATGAGTCAAAAACATAAATATTAAAAAAGAAACAATCTGCTGGAAGATAAAATAGTTAAAACTATTGAAGACAGAGGCACAGGAAAGGACTTTCTGAACAGAATGGGAAAAAGGTTCTTGCTAGCTACTCTTTGGACACAGGACTGACATCTGGAATTTACAAAGAATTTTTTTAAAAAAACAAAAAACAAATCCCTCAAAATAGAAGACCCAATAAAAAAGTGGGCAGCTGAAATGAATACAGAAAGGTTTTTTTTGGTGTTTTACTTAAGACTGGAGAGATCTGAGTAGGTTTATTGCTGAAGGTAAGGAGCTAGAGGATAAAGTGGTTGAAAATACACAAGTGGTAATGCATATCAAAGTTTCTAGGTACTCGAACAGCTTCAAGTAGGAAGGAGAAATGTTCCTCTGAAACAGAAGAGTGAAATAGGTACAG